TTAGTACGGGCGTACTGAACATGGTACGGGCGCATTGTTGTTTTTTTTTTGAAGTTCATTTTTTTTTTTGGAATAAACAGAGAATAAGTGATCTTCCAGTACACCTATCATCTGTATGCATGTATGCGGTATGATGCACCTAATTCTATTTGATTTATTTTTCAAAAGAATTAACCGATGCATTTCTTTGCTTGGATTTTTGCCATTCCTCTAGACGGGCTGTGCGCTGCCGATTTCTGTAACCGAGGAATGATGCGTGTTATATCGAGATTGGTTTCATCAACCCAGTGATCCTTCCCTTCCTTTAGAAGACGTATCAACCTTCCTATTGACCACTATATCTCCATGTTTCCACTAGATTATTCTAAAATCGTTTGGGACAAGAGAAAAGAAAGGAAAGATATTTTTGTTCAAAAGTTTGTGTTTTAGAGGGGATTATTATTGTTTTGAAAACGGTTTTTGTAAGAATGGCTGGCCAAGGTAGGCTCATGTGTTTAGGCTTGTTTGATTAAACACTTATGAAGTTAAGAAAGTCTTGTTATTGACGTTGTGATTCGACAACTTAGATAGTTTCCCTTGAACCTTTCTTTTTGAATTCAGCTCATGGTACCATCATGGATTTCTTTTGCTTTTTGATTGTCCTTATTTTTGCCTAAAACACCCCTTTGTGGCGTCTCAGCGGACCTTTGTTTTTGTTCATTTTTGCAACCCTAATTTTTGCCTAGGTCACCCTTTCGTGGGATTCCTAGCGGGTTCTTTGCTCTTATTTTTGCGCAGCCCCCTTTTTGGGTTTCCTGCCGAGCTTTTTTTGTTTTTAGGATTTTGTCCTTAAAGGATTTCTTTTTTATCCATGATGGCACTTGTCGAGGCCAAGGAAAGGTGCTCCAAGTTGTCACACACACTTCCACATAAAAATGATGCGGGTTTATTGTTATTAAGACAATTTTAACCTCATTCATGCTTATTCAAACAGGGTTAAAATAATGTGGTCTAGAAATTTATTGCAAGCAAGAAAAGAAGCAATAAGAAATAATAAAGAATGATTTTATTATAATTCTAGCGGAAACATGTGCCCTATCGAGGCTCGGGGGTCGGGCTGTCCCCGAGGAGTGATCTCTAACAGTCATCAGGTCTATACATCCCTATCGGAAGAAGAAGAGCACTTGATGACGACGACCGGCCTTGACGCTTGTGAACCGGCCTTCCTAAAGATCTGGCTTAAAGAACGTCGAGAAGGATCTTGGTTCCTCTTCGTCCTTTGATCTTTATTAGGGTTGTATCCTAACCCTTGTTTCCCCGGATTATCCTTGATGGTGGGTAGCTCGGGAATTCCTTGGGAATCCTTGCCAAGTCCTTGTCCAGGCAAGTATCCGTTCTTGGTGAGCATGTAGGCTACCTTCTTCATTTCTCGGGGAAACGTTTCGACATTGGCAATCTCCAATGCTTGGAAGGCGGTCTCTAGAGCTTCCTCTGCTGCATCCACGTAAGGTATGGCAGATGGCTTGCTGATGAGTATGTCATCTTCAGCTTGTACGGTCACCAGCTTGTCACCCACTATGAATTTGACTTTCTGGTGGAGCGTAGAGGGAACAGCTTTCGCATCATGAATCCAAGGTCGGCCGAGGAGACAGCTGTATGCGGGAGTAATGTCCATCACTTGAAATTCGACATTAAAGATGGTGGGTCCAATTTGGATTGGAAGATTGATTTCTCCCACCACTTCTCTTTTAGAACCGTCGAAAGCTCGAACGATCATGTTGCTCGGGCGCATTTGGATTCCCTTGATTGCCACTTGATCGAACGTTCTTTTTGGCATCACATTCAAGGAAGATCCATTATCTACCAAGACTTTAGCGATGTGATATTCCTTGCACTTTACAGAGATGTGCAAGGGCTTGTTGTGATTCGGTCCCTCAGCGGGGATTTCTTCATCGGTGAAAGTGAGGTGATCATTAGCCGTGATGTGACTAACAATCCCCTCAAACTTGTCTTGGGAGATAGTGTGCGACACGTATGCCTCGTTCAAGACTTTCAACAGAGCTTGCCGATGCGGTTCGGAGCTTAGGATCAACGACAACAGAGTAATCTTTGCTGGCGTCCTATGAAGTTGATCCACGATGGAGTACTCGCTCTGTCGGATATACTTTAACAGCTCGTCAGTCTCCTCCTCGGATTCTTTATTTTCCTCGGTTTTCTCTTTTTCTTTTTCTTTTCCTTTATTCTTGGGAGCTTTATCATGAAGATCTTCGGGAGTGTAGATCCTGCCACTCCTAGTCATGCCCCCAAGTCCAGCGATGTTAGAGATATCGCTGTCGGCAGAAGAATGGATGTCGTATATCCATGGCACAGCCTTATTCGATTCGTAGGGAAAAGGTCTTGGAGCAGTGATCCTTAACGGTGTCGGACCTTCCCCTTTATTTGTCTTGATTACCAACAACGGAGTTGATGTGCGCTCGCTTGGCGCGGTTGTTGGCTTACACTTAATAACAAACGGCGTGCGATCCATTCTGAACATACGCATCGATTAATCCTTTCTTTTTATTAATGTTTATTAATGAATTACTAGGAGGGATGTATGAAATGCAAACCTAGATCCCTCCATGATCTTTGATAAGAATGCATGATATGAGATGATGACGTTGAATATGCATGCATTGTGTTTATTCAACTAAGCATTATCATGTTTTCAGGATGCTCCTAAGATGATGCATGATATTGCTTGGTTTGGATAAATAACCCTTTTTTCTTTTTTTGGGTATTTTGTTTTTTGTATTTTTTTGGGTGAAAAGGGAAACTACCTATATGAATGTGATGAAGGTAGATGTTAACACCATGTAATGGAAGATTCTTATTCCCATTTATTCTTATTTAAAAAGGGATGTTGTATGTTTAAAGAATGCAATGTATGCTCAAACAATGTCACATAAACAATGCACAAACAATTCACTCATCCACGAACAGTCACGAGCGAATCACGAGGTAGGGGTATCCTGCAGAAAAGTGCATATTCAAGGAGGTTCTAACTGTTCTCACTGGTCTGAGGCCCCCAAGGTGCCCCCATTATAGGGACCCAATTCCTCTCGTCGTAAGTCGATGGAAAGCTCCAACGCACTGTCGGACTCGAGTTCATGGTTATCACCTTGAGTGATGTTTTCCGACAACGGTCTACGGGCACCTATAGACCCATTCGACAACCGGCCGTACTAACATCCACTCCCTATGGTTAATCACTCATGCCCCCGGGTATAGAGGGAACTGTTGTGTGCAAAGGTTTGTGTGCAGTTTTTATTTCAAACAATTGCGTAAATTTAAAAATACAACAGTTATTAAAGCCAAATAGATAAACATGTTATCATACAAGTGAGGGGTAATAAAGTAATTTTAACTATTATTTGTTAAAAATAATCTGTCACTAAATGGGACTGACTCTCGAGGCTTCCCCAGTGGAGTCGCCATCTGTCGCCACCGGCCCGAAACGGGCTTTCGGCATTCGCGAAGGATGGTTGGACTCTTTTATTTGTTTAAAAATATGGATTGCTAGAATGACTTATTCTCAAACTGAGACCTCGTCAAACGAGCAATTTTATTAAAAGGCTCACCAATCCATGTTAATCCCAAGCGGGACCCTCCATGGATTAGCGGTTTTCATAAAAAGGAAGGGTTCATGGAGTCGCCACCAATGTTTTACTCAAAACATTGGAAAAAGAAGTTTAAGGCAATCGATTCAAAAATCGACTTCGGCCATGACAACCAGAGTCGGGTAAGGGAGTCGGTTACGCGTGGGGAAGGTGTTAGCACCCCACAGCGCCCCTTTCGGGTTCCCTATGACAGATTATTTCTAAAAATAATAGTGCGAAATTACTAAATTACCCCTATTTATTCTAAACAATTATAACTTAACTATCTACATGATGACAGTTAAATATACACACAGAAAGCAGTAAAAGGAAGGTCTTAAGAAGAAACCTTTGAAGCGTGCTTTTATATTCAAGTAAAACTGGGAAGCTTTTTGGCGTTCCCTCGCTCTACAAGCCCGCTCGCTCCCTCCTAGAAAATTTTAACTATGGAAATCCGGAGGATTTCCCTTCGACTCAGTTCGAGACTCAAGCAAAAAGCTCAGAACTCGAGAACTTTGTCGGATCAACTCTCCGAGTGATTTCTAGGCAGAGCACTGCTCAAAAAAACCCAGAATACTCAAGAAGAGGGTTAAAACTCAGTGTAAAAGTGTAGAATGACGTCCAATTGACGTCATATTTATAGGGATGAGGCGCAATACGGCCTCTGGGGGTCAATACGGTCCGTATTGAAGTTTTGAACTACAATACGGCCGTATTGAATTCAGTACGGCCGTATTGAAGTTCAAAAAACCTCAATACGGCCGTATTGAGTTCAGTGCAGCCGTATTGAAGTTCAGTGCAGCCGTATTGAGTTCAGTGCAGCCGTATTGAAGTTCAGAAACTTCAATACGGCCGTATTGAGTTCAGTGCGGCCGTATTGTAGTTTAAAATGTTCAATACGGCCGTACTGAACTTTTGGGAGGCCGTATTGGGCTTCATTCCCTCCACTTTCTTATTTTTTGCTACTCTAAGACCTCTAAACCTACAGATTGTCATCCTAGGGTCTTCCAGGGTCTTCCAGGAGTCCTTCCGGCTGACTTTCCTTCGGTCTTCGAGAGTCTTTGAGTCTTATTTCCGACCCGAACAATTTTAGGGGTCTACAAGGGACCCATTATCTTTGTCGCTGTCACCTGGCAAACTCTAAGGTCTGTTGCAGTATTTCGGGCTAGAGTAACCGGTTATCACCTTGAGTGTGATTTCTGACAAGGCTCGCAGGCTCCAAGGCCAAACTTGGGCCGGTCGTACGTCAACCACTCCCTATGTGTAATACCCTCATGCTCCCGGATGTAGGGGGAACTATTGTGTGCAAAGGTTTGTGTACAATTTTTATTCCAAACAAGTGCTGAACTTAAACAGGCAAAAAGATATGAAAGCCAAACAAATAAAACAAACAAAGGAAAGGGGAAAATATTTAAATTATTATTTCTATTTTATTAACTTCATCAATTAAATGGGTCTGACCCTCTTTAAACGTCCTCAATGGAGTCGCCATCTGTCGCAACCCGAAAATTTCCGATCTTGCGACCTATGGTTTAGACATCCTTTTGAAAATCTCATCAATTAAGGAATGCCCGGACACCAAACTAATCCTTAATTAATGATTTTTGAAAATAGGTTCATGGAGTCGCCACTAATATTTTACTCAAAACATTGGAAAAAGAAAAAGTATTTTTTTTAAAAAAAGAATCCAATAATGGCCTTGATAACCAGAATTAGGTTCGGGGCTTGGTTACATGTAAGGAAGGTATTAAGCACCCCTACAACGCCCTCAATCGATACCCTATGATGAAGTTAAAATTATAAATGATAATAATATAAACATTAAATCCCCTTTTATTAATAATTATTTACATGCTTAAAATTCAATTTATATAATTAACCCTAAAATGTCTACATGATTATTTTTATTATAATAATATTAATTACAGATAAGAAATAAATAAATAAAAAAAGAGAGAAAGAGATTAATGAAATACCTCTTGAATGAGCTCTATTGAATCTTCAAAACAGGAAGATTTTAGGTGCTTTTTGGCAACCTTTCACAGTACAATGCCTCACAAAAATCTCAAGAAATACAAAAGAGAGGGAGAGAGAGAAAAAGAGAGAAATTTCGTGCTCTAAGGAATCTGGACGAAATTTTTAAGTCTTGAGAAATGAGCCCAAGTTGTCTATTTATAGACTTTAGAAAGGGTCCAGAACGGCCCGTTCCAAAATCGGAAACGTTGTGGGTTAAATTTGTAACTAGAACGGCCCGTTCCGGGAACCAGAATGGCCCGTTTCGGGAACCAGAATGGCCCGTGCTGAAATTGGAACGGCCCGTTCCAGACTACATATTTTAGGCCTTTTAAAAGTCCTAGAACGGCCCGTTCTGGGAACCAGAATGACCCGTTTTGATATTGGAACGGCCCGTTCCATACCAAATACTTTAGGCCCTTTGATTGGTTTGGAACGGCCCGTTCTGGTTTGGAACGACCCGTTCCAACCTACAATTTTAGGCCTTTTAGGAGTCTCGGAACGGCCCGTTCCAATTCAAGAACGGCCCATTCTAGTTTTGGAATGGCCCGTTCCGGGCTAGTAAAAATAGCTGATTTGGGATTTTGGGCCCTCTGATGTCCTATCTTGTTATTTCCATGCTTGGGAGATCCATTTCTTTGATGATAGATGTCCATTTCTTTGTTTGTATGCCCCCCGGACGAAATTGGGTGTCTACATCTACAATGAGAGAAAAAGTATTTTCTAAAAGCTTGCATCTTGTGTGAAATAAGTTCTCCCTTTGAGATTGGTCAATTTCACTAGTTTGGTTGTTAATAAGCGTCCTAACCATGAGTAAGTCTCCACTACAAGGTAAGATTTCTTCTTTCAAATCTATGGCTTCATCTTCACTACTTGAAGTAGATGAAGAACAAGTAGCTTCATCAAGGATAATATAGTGGTCATGGCCTCTTAAAATTATGGTTTTCTTTGTGGGACATTGAGAAGCAATATGTCTCCTCCCAAGACACTTAAAGCACTTGATGTCACTTGACTTAGATTCTTTAGAAGGAGCTTTAAGAGAAAATTTTCCTTTTTCTTGTTCTTTTTCTTTTTATTTGAAATAAGGTTTGGAAGAGGATCCTCCTTCTTGAAATTCTTCTAATAAGAGGGAGTGGAGGCTTTTCTAAAACTTTTCCTTTTGAGTTGATGCTCCACTCTTGAACAAAGTTGAACAAGTTCATTTAAATCTCTATAAGGAAAAAGTTAAACTTTCTCTCTTATTTCAAGATTAAGACCACTTTGAAATCTAGAAATGGTGGTTCTCTCTTCTTCCCTTATTCCAGCCCTCATCATGAGTAACTCCATTTGTTGCCTATATTCCTCCACACCAGATGACCCTTGTTTCAACCTTTGAAGCTTATCCATAAGCTCACGGTCATAGTATGGGGGAATATGCCTCCTTCTTAAGGCACTACGAAGTTCATTCCAATATTGTATTAGGGGCTAATGATGCAATCTTCTTTCTTTTTCCAAGGAGGTCCACCAATATATAGCATGCCCTTGGAAGCTAAGTGTTGCTAAAGAAACCTTTTTCTCTTCACTTATTCCATGGCAACAAAAACGTTTTTCAACTTTCATAACCCAATCTAAATATGTTTCAACATTTTCTTTTCCATGAAATGAGGGAAGAGTAATATTGGGTTCCTTATTGGAAGACTCCCTTGGTCTTTGTGTTCTTGGTGGTCTTTGATAGTAGTCATCATTGTGATGACTACTATAATGGCTATCACTTGGGGGTTTGTAGGGTGTTGACTACCCTCACTTTCACTTCTAGGGGTTCTCATCCTATTTCCCCTTTGAGGCCTAGTTAGGGGAACCCTTGGGTTGGATCCCCCAACTTCCCCCCATGACTAGC